TTTTTTATCATTTACGTCAAACTGTATTTTCGTTTTTTTTTTTTTTTTTTTTTTTTCAGTAGAGAATTGTAGTCTCCCCCTACGCCAGTTTTCTTTACAAAAAGTTGTAGAACGTGATATATAAAACGGACGCATTAAGTTAAAGCAAATTGCTTTCTTTGTAGGTAAGTGGTCAAAAACTATTTATCTATTTACCGCAGTGAGTGTGCGGAAGGATCCCAAATTAGATTATCAATCAGACTGAGCACTGATTTGATTTAGAAATATTTATGCTGAGATTTTTTTTTTTTTTTTTTTTTTTTTTTTTTTTTTTTTTTTTTTTTTTTTTTTTTTTTTTTTTTTTTTTTGTTTGTTTGTTTGTTGTTGTTGTTAAGTAGGTAATAATTCGGGCTTGTTTAAGTCGGATGCGACAGGTGAGACGAAAGTGACGCTTCACAGCTGAAACAATCATTCCAACATTCCATTAGGAGATGTAGCGCCATCTAGTGTATATTTTAGGTAAAAATGGCGCAACCATTAGAAAGTTTGAGAAGACAACCGTTATCTGACAAAAACAGCAAGTTGTCCCCGTTTGGACTCAATAAAATTTGAATTATAGGATTTGTGAAATCGTGAAGAGTAATATAATTGATTTTGGTTAGAGTGTAATTAGTCATCATGCCATGATTATTGTGATGACATTTTTTGCCACTGTCATCTCTGGTTATATTTACTATGGTGTCATACGAACATTTTATTTGATCTCTCTCTGTAAATAAGACAAAAGTACTGCATAGTGAGTGGTGTACATAATTGTACGATGATTTAGAGTTTTGTTAACAGCATACTTAGCTATTATATAAGCGTTATTGTAAGTAGTATCATTGTTAATTAAATATGTTAAAATGTTGGCGGCGTTGCAGCGAATAAAATTGTGTTATAGTGTTGGTTCAAACTAGTGCTTTTGCCTGCTGGTCAAGATAACAGTAAAAAAAGAGTACAGTTCAGTTCTTATAGACCCCATTTCCACAGATTAGATCGATCTACTTTAGATCGACCTAACTCCCTGGGGTTTCACGCTAAATAGCTGTCAGCCGGGCGGACACGAAAGTTAATTACCCCCTTACAGCTTGTAGTAGGCGGGACGGACATTTAAGCCGGATAATCTGACAGTTATCTAGTGAGACTCCCCGCGGGGATAGATCGATCTAAAAGCTCTGGGAATACAGCCGTAGAGCGTATTCAGAACTAGTTGGTCCTCGGACATACACATGTTCCGATCTAACAACTTACGAATTTAAAAATTAACGTTATTTAATGAGAGATTGAGATGGAGGTGTAATGCTCGAGTATCAACACTCAAGCTCAGTAATCTCACCTGTAAGTAATGTAAAACTGTCAACAATACTTAGAGAACTACTAGTACCATTCCTATCTGACCGACGACATGTGTGCGACAGATGCCGTGAAGTGTTTTGCCAAGGATAGTGATGAAATGGTGAAAAAATGAATTCCCTCAAAATGCAAGAAGATTTATTCGTTGACCGCGTGACAATCGCATTAAACCATCACGTGAACTTGCGAGTGAGCAATAGAAATATTTCGATTCCCAAGTAAATGTTGTTATTATAGACGACCACTCCTTTGGAAATAGATGAAAACACGTCAATAATTTTATCGAATAAATCAACAGTTCGATCAATTTATTTATATACTTTTACAATATATGTACAATACGATATTATACGTTTATTTGATTACATATTTAGCAAGAAAGATACATTTGAAGTTCATTGTTTACATTATTCTTCTCCAACGAACGTTTACTTAAAGATACTAATCAAAAATATACAACAATCTACTAAAGAGAAGATAAAATATCTGAATGAGTACAATTTTTTCATTAAAAGCATAGCGTTGACATTTTGCAAAAAATATCATCTATTATTGATAAAAAGAAATATATCATAAAAACTGCCACAGAATTTAAACCTTAAAAGTGAATATTCAATTTGGCCAATCTCGGTTTATCCTGTACAAAAGCATTAGCTGATATATTCCGGGTGGACGAATTACTTCGCTTATCAAACTTGTACCCCCTCTTTCAGATACCCACATTAAAGCACATAATAATAAATTCTGAAAGATAACTTCAACACCTTTAATTGTATTACCTTAAATAATGTGGCCTCCCTGGCCACTGTATCGAGCCGAAGTTTGATCTAACTACCTTGGATAAAGAGTTTATCAAAATAAACCTTACACTACAAAATATAATGAGATTCATATTGAGCAAATACTGTAGAGGTAAACGGTAGTTATGAGTGCACCTTTGCTTAAATGTTTCCAAGTGCCAATCCTAAAATGAGAGTATATGGAATAGCAACAGAAACCCCTTTATAAATGAACAATGGCGGATCCCATCCTCAACTTCGAAAATACCCCTATATCAACCGAAGAAACAATACATTACCCCTCTGGGAACGTGTCGGTAAGCTGTTCGAAAACTAGCGAATCGCTGGGCTTGCCAACAGACCCACCCCCACCCCCCACCCCCACCCCCCGCCCACTCTCTGTGAGCGCATTCAGAACAGCAGACTAACAGATCCGCGGATCAAATATGGAGGTCCACTAAAAAGCTTGTCGTTTAGTTCCCGAGTAGACACTGAATAGATTCTCCGCGGGGATTACGCACCAAGCATTCAAGTCGGTCGGCCATATTTGATCCGCGGATCAGTTAGTCCGCTGTTCTAAATGCGCTCTGTGATGATCGACGGTCATGGTGGCGGACAACACCCAAATCGTACGTGCCAAGCAGAATCCTTAAACCTTGGTGCAAACGTACAAGTTTGAGTGCACTGTTAGGGGAGGGTACAGTCACGTGTCCTTCATTAAGTCATGTGCCATCTGCACGTGCTTTACTTCCTTGTTTTGCAGAAGGACGTCCTGTTTGAACAGGGTGACTCTTGCCAAAGGCGGATATGGTGCTTTAGACAACCCACGTTAAAATACTGATTGTCCCAACAACTGCATAAACTTGTGCACGTGTTAAACATTGATAACCTATACCATTACTACTTTAACCGGTGACGTAGATATGCCAAAAACACAGCAAAAACAGAATCGGACAACAATATATGTATGTATTACAATATCACATGAACAGAACTCTATAATCGTTACGATTGTGCTTTTTCGATGGATAGACAAGAAATGCTCGTCAGATCTTTATATTATAAATTCGATGTTCAGACTTGCCGATTGCCCTAAATCAACAAAGTACAGCATATCCAAAAGCGCTGACAAAATTACGATCATAAACTTTTTTGGGAGGATATGCTGTAAGTATCGTGTTTTAAAAATGGGTTAATAAATGGAACATTTCAACGGTTGTGGATAGGCAGTGCCTTGGCAATTCAGAAAAACTTGAATTTCCCTGGACATTTTCTACTATAATAACCCATTGCTACATAAACGTTTGAGGCGTATTGTAAGCCATAAACATTTGACAGAATGGTTCCAAAGGGAACACGTGATCAGTCCCACAGAAACCGTGAAATCCTACATCCGTTATAACTAATTAAAAGTTACATAAAAGCGTGGCACTTATTCATTAAAATCATCTATCACGTTTACAGGCGTTAAGACACAAAATTAAGGCATTTACAACGCTTAATTAACACTGAACGCCGGTCCGCCCCTTGTATCGTTCCTATCAAATGACATGAGCAAACGAAATAGTTCAAACTCATTTTTACCCCTGGGTGTTAGTCCTAAAAAAATGAGTAAATCCCAAAGACTACCAATTGACTTATAAATGTTGTTGCAAATTGTACCTTAAAGAATGAAATAAAAATACTGAATTTCAAATCGGTCCCATGCGTTAAAAAAAGTCCATTACCTTTGTCACTGCCTTCAAGTTCACTTTAACCTAAAATACATATCAAATTAAAAGACAATACCCATAACAACCGAGCACCAAGTATCAGATTCAATGTGGCGTCGCGTGTCGCCTTCCCCAATCACTTTTAACAAACGTGCAAAGTAGTGTAGTGCCATTAAAAGTCACGTTAATATCCCATGTCTTAAAGGCAAGGTTTTTCTTGAAATTGATTATTTTAGCTGACATTAAACAATGTAAGCTCTTTGATACGGCATGATCGTATCTAATGAAAGTTATCATAAGCTTTTGCTATCTTCGTCTTGGTCCACTTTCTTTCTTCATAAATTTTACTTAAATTCTGATAAATTTAACGTTTATTCTGTTCAAATCCGTGAACAGAGACACTATGGGCTACTTATTTCCCTTCACAAGGCGAAGCATTACATAAACGATACTCTGTTTTGGTGAAATCACTCACATTCACCTTATATCGTCTGGAACTCCTCGTGACTGCCCTGTAAATGCGCATGCGTATTTGGCTGATAAAAGTTCCCGGATAAACTATACCCGTACTGCTGGTCCTGTTGCCCGCCGCTGCCACCGAGTGTGTCGTGGTAATAATACCCATAAGGGTGTGGGTCGCTCTGCCTGTTATACATACTGACGTACGAGTTTTCCCGACCGTTGCCGGCGCTCAGTCGCTCAGCGTCACTGTCCGGGACAATTTGTTCTGGGGAATGTTTCTCCTGTTGCAGCACGGCCGGCAGCACTTCCAATTTCATCCTTTTTGCCTGTGGGGTATATCCGTCGTCGTTTTCGTCACCGGTCCCCTCTGGGCTGCTTCCTTGGTCGTCTGCCCCATACCCGGTTCCACTTTCAGGACCCCCTTCGGGCCCTCGGGACTGGGGATGGTAAGGGTAACCGTTACTGGTAGGCATGGCCATATGATTGTACTCCCCCGAACCCTCGCAGTCCGCAGCTTTACCCCTGTAGTCAAAGGATTGCTCCAAAGAGCCACGTGAGTACCTTCCGTGGTATAGGAGTGCCCCCTGGTCTACAGGGGGTCCGTTGAAGGCGGGGCTAAATGAACCAGGGACTCCCATTGGTGGTCTGCCCCGAGCAGCGCCACCTGGCAAAGTGGGCACGTAGGACGGGCTTGCGTTGGGATTTCGACTGAAGAGGGCGTGGAAGCTGCTCTCCACGACGGGCGGGGATGGAGTCGCGCGCTCACTTGTACGGTCGTAGCTGTCGCGGAATCCTTTGGCGAACGGATTGTGGTCTATCTTCAGCTGTGTTATCTGAAATGATGCAACGGCAATGTATTTGAAACTCGTCATCACGAAACTCTGTAGCTACATTGTGGTTCCAAGAATTTTCTATGTGGGGGGGGGGGGGGGACGCAAGCACTTATTTTGCCTTTGTTGTATAAAACAGAAATGTCAGTATAATATGAAGGGCACGGGGATGGAAAATTTTTTCAGTTTTGACTCATTTTGCGTGGAATCTTTTTCTTTTTATATTTTGGGGGAGGGTAGCAGAAGGGTGCCTTCAAAGCAAAGGGAGGGGCAAGTAACCACTGTGCCTGTCCTTGATTCCACAGTAATATGCATCACTCGCATTCGTTAAGTCGTTAAACGTGAAATAAAGCGCACGTTGTAGTGAGGCAATTGCATATATGCAAGTATACATGTAGATTTGTTATGCAGTTGCATGAAACAAATACCAACATAACAAAAAAAAAAAAGAACTATTGCATAAAAACAGACGCTTTCAATTACTTCAGTAAAATATTTTCACACTAATGAATGGTGAACTAAAAGTCAAAAATACTACACAAAAACGATTTGATTTTTTATGTTACGTATCAATAAAAAACAGACGTGGGTGACACACGGCACTATAAATGCTGAATTATGCTGAATCATTCCCCCATTATGCACGTACGACATGCAACAGTCTGCCGCTGAGGCAATGGCAATTCCTTCCTGCAATTAGGAAGTAAATTATCATCAAATCACCGCAATTCGATGATAACTGTAATAGACTCGTTGCCATGGCAACAAAAATGCAGTACTCATTGTACTGTATTGTTACTGTCGTTGTCATAGCACGAAGTGTTACAACATCAATGTCTAAATACAACAACATTTTCTTTTTTTTTCATATTGCAAAATATTTTGTAACGTTTAAGGACGAATTTTTGAAGAATACAGCAATGTTGGATAAATCACAAGTTCAGTTCAGAGAGCTATGAATCAAGTGTCTCTTTCCCACAGCTGGAATCATTGAATGAAAAAAATGATGAAGAATAATAATGACACGATTCAAACTAGACTGTTGGACGCTCTTGTTTTTAATTTCTAGACCAAATTTGTTTACTGTTTGTGCGCACCCGTCCGCGTGTGTCGTATTATTATGTGTGTTTTTTGTGAAGTGTGTTGTCATATTTCATACCTTCGCACAAAAAAAATCTTCAACCATTTTTCTCATGTTTTCCGTATCTTAAAGTTATAGATATATTCTGTATTTTTTTTTTTTAATGTAACTTACGTCTGTATTTTGATAGGCTGTCACAGCTATGAATTGAGTCTCTGGAAAACAGTGCGTCTGGAGGTCCGATGACTCTCGGGTGTTTCCGGAGCACGAGCCGACTTCAATTACATGAATTCGAGGCTGATGCTTGTGCATTGAATTCAAAACAATCTGAAATAAACGAAGATGTTTTAGATGAAAAGAGTCGTTGACATATTTTTCAGCGTGAAGTGTCCCGCTATGTAAAATATTTAACATCCTCATTTAAACTTTCGGGTATATGTTGAAGATGGCTCAAAGAATGTTATCAACCTTGATTTGAAAAGTTTAAACATGCACATGTTAGCAGCAAAAATGATGATGTATTAACTAAAAATTAAATTTTGTACGTTTCGTCCAAGCTCAGTTCCCCAACCTAAAAACAAACACCCTTGGTTTTTGCCACGGAAATTCGGCCGCTGCAACAATGAAGCTTTCTCCAAAATGTTTTATTATGCCCGATATTTTATTGATCAAAGATCGTTTTGTGTACTTACAAATCCTTGGTCACAGTTCTTGTTATTGGTCAACTTGAGTTTACTGAAGGTTATGTCCTGCTTCATCCAGTGAGCGCCGGAATTCGGGGAATCGGGATGCATGTAGATGCGACCATCTGAAATAAAAATATGAACATATATTTGATATAACTTATATTTCATATATTCTATTTTTAAACGTTCATAATCCTAGAAATACACAGGGTTTTCAGTGTTTAAACCATTTTGACACGGTTATCTCGTCGAATATAAGATACTTGAACAAGAGAAATTTCGTACCATTGGAATGGGTATAGAACATATTGCTAGGTTTTGTCTCCCTGTTTTTAATGGAGAAGGGGGTATCTGGAGGGGGGGGGGGGGCAAGTGTCCTGCTGCCCCCCAGGGACCCCCTTTTGTATATATATATATTCATTAAATTTGTCATAGCTTTAAGTGCACATAAAAATAAAACATTTGGTATGAAGATTATTCAAGGCAAATGTGTTCATATCTCTAAAACATAAAAATTTCATAAAAATTTCGTTCAAAAATAATTACATTTAAAAAAAAATAAGCGACAATCTCAATCCGTCATAAACTGACGGGACTTTCCTGTTGCGCTCCAGAAAAAAAAAAATTAAATGTGTATGCCGAATAGATATTCGGTACGTCTTCTACATGTGAAGGTCAATCAGAGGTCACCATATATTACGGGTTTGTTGGCCTATTAATTACTTCGGGTTCTTTACTTTATTTCCAAGTTAAGGGTTTATACAGAATTGGCCTAATAAAAGGACAGTTCAATTTCATTTGTATCTTTTTATATTTATTTTTAGCACAGATAATAGAATGAAAAAATATACAATAGTAAATCAGCTAATAAAATAACTGAGCTGTATATAAACACTCTAAGTGATACCGTGGTGACAAAATAATTATGTTGAGAGAAACAGAAAATAACACAGAAAAAATAATGACACGTAGTTTATACATAACTTCACGACTAATGAGAATAAAGTAACAAACAAACAAACAACAAAAAAAGAGAAAAAGAAAAATATTCATTTGCATTGCTTCAGACAGTTGGTTTTCCTTGGTTTGAGCTATGAAAAAGAATGAACGTTGTCGAAAAGTCGCACGCACACCAGCACGCAAGCGCATCAAGCACGTGGAAAGATGCACACATACTTACACAGACATACTCCGACCGATGTCGGCCACACGTGCGCGCAAGCTCAATAAAGAATCAATTAATCAAGAATCGACTCAAGCGCGATTAAACAATGACACGTCTGATCTTTAACAAGAAACTGTTATTGAAAAGCGCGCTGGCGTTACATAACAACCAATTCATTCCACATTTAATACAACTATCCGACCACTTCAGTCGCCAATAAACCCTACTTAAACCTGCAACAGTGACCACAGCAGAGACAATATTTCCCTCTCATCTCTCCAGCGTCGAGACGATTTATTGAAAAACAAGCAAATCGTTGGTCAAGCGACGATATTGGTCTTTCCAGAAATAGAAAAGGTGTAACATTGCTGCATATTTCCCTCCTCTCAAGTGTTTTGGTGAGAGTGAAGCTATTGCATTTTTGCAATATTGTCGAATTAATAAAACCATCATTTATCTGCAATGTATGTACTTAACCTTTGAAGGGGACACCTCGGTTACGTAACGACCCATTTGCTGAAACACAACTTGACAAATAAGATCGACGAAACGAAAAAAGTGTTGAAATGATCTACTTTAGGCGGCCCACTGAGGGATGGGGGGGGGGGGCGATCCAGTACACAGGCAATAAAATTATCAAATCACAGATCACGGGAAACTTAAAATGTTTCAATGAAAATGCAGGAAATAGGTTCTTGTATAATGCCTACATTTCACGGATAACGAATAACACAGAAAGTTGCAATTCACGGGAATGGGGTGCGTCACGGATGCTTCACGGATGACGCTAAATAATCTGAATAACATGAACATTTCACGTAGCTCGGCAGGAAAATTGATTTCGCGTGGTAGGGTTTTGCATTTTACTTTCTCTTTTTTTCTGACAATAAGCTGATTAATTTATTATTGAAAGTATCAGATCGTTGTATGTGTTAAAATAGTCATCATATTATCATTGCACTTATTATTGCCTTACATAAAATTTAAATGATAATCTATCATTTTTTTTAATTGAATCAATATGAAGGGAATTCCCATACAAATTATTTCGAGAAAGGAAGAGATTTCACCTAAGACGTTCTTGAGAAAATAAAACATGTTCTTCTAAAGGTCATTTCCATGTCTACCCTCGCCTTGAAATTGAGACAAAATTTTGTCGGAGGACTTCTGCATCTCGAAAATTCCATATTTGCTAACATTAAAAAACAAATAGCTTAGTTATCATTTTCGGCCTTTAAGTCTCTCTCTCTCTCTCTCTCTCTCTCTCTCTCTCTCCAATAAACACACTCTCGATCAAAGGCCATTCTTTTCTCTTTCTTCACTTAGTTTTTATCGCTTATTATCATCTTTCAATCTTTAAATTTTGATAACACGATCAATGATAAAACTGCGCAGCTCGATGCTAAATTATAGCCATACGCCTGAAAATGTGTATATTGTGTAATGACATTTTTCTCAAAGATTAACAGCCGCGTGACCTTACTAGGCAAGATCATTTCACAGAACATGCCTTAGTCTTTTAACAACTTTCAATAAGTAATGTGTAAACAGCTATTTATCACTCTTTTTATCATTTATTGGAGATTATGTTACTGACTGTTATCACGATTATCAGTCTGTCTGTCTGTAAATCAGCCGCTAAGGATAGGCTATATATATATAAAGTGTGTGGAAAACCGGAGTTAGCGACAATGTGTGAAGGGATTTATTTGAGTGTCACGGTAGTTTGAACGGCTTGACTATATGAAATTATTACTCTTTCTTTCTCTCCCTCTGTCTCTCTCTGTCTCTCTCTCTCACACACACACACACACACACACACACACTCGCACACACACACACACACTCGCACACAAAGAAAAACGTAACACAACACTCGCACACACAAACACAATCGGGCACGCGCACACGAATATATGTCTCTTAAACACCGCTACAAACGCACGCGCACACACTACATACACATACAGACACCTTACTCTCAACAACAACGGGGAACAACAGTCTCTATTTTCTACAGCATTTGTTTTCTATCTTTCATGCATTATTCAAAAATATCTGGACTGGCATAGAAAAAATACTACCATTTTTCCAATCATTTCTAAAATTCAACGGAGACTGCTTGACAAATGTTTTCGAAGTTTTCTACCTGTTAATTGCAAGTTCCTTCAAGATCTGGTCTAATTGCTTCCTCCGCTTATTAAGACTTCCTCGCCAGGTATAATGTTCAAAATATTATGCAGCCTGCCGCGTGTGCTTATTTTTGCTATGTTACAAGTTTCACTTATTTTGTCTTTAAAACGTGTTTCGAATTTATTGTGTATTTAGCGTGTCTAACGAGTTATAATTCGCCTTATATTTTTACTTGTCACTTACCAAAAGATTATATTCTTGTTGTAGATAATATAAATTTTTGTAAGTTTATAATTTTTTGTATGCAAATGATGCACGTAAGACCTTTACAAAGCAGAAAATAACTTTCCTGGAAATATTGGCAATTTTTCCTTGATTACTAAGGTGCATATCCTATACAAAACCGCTAAGGAAACTGCGATCTATAAGCTAATTGTTAGTTCCAAATTTCTGATTTTTCCCGTCACGAGTGAAATTCATTAGTTTCTTTCTCCATTTTAGTCTATTTCAAGAGCACTTTTTTACGTAATTCCCCTAGGCCCCTGCGCGCATGGAGGCCGGGAGACCAGCAGGTAGTCAGTTGGCGCTGTTTTAAGTGAGTCGGCCATATTTAGTCCGCGGATCTGTTAGCCCTAGGATCAACTTGTTCTGAATGCGCTCTTAGACCCCATTCCCAGAATAAGATCGATCTACTTTAGATCGACCTAACTCCCTGGGGGTTCACGCTAAATAGCTGTCAGCCGAGCGGGCACGAAAGTTAATTACCCCCTTACAGCTTGTAGTAGGGGGGACGGACATTTAAGCCGGATTATCTGAAAGTAATCTAGTAAAACTCCCCGCGGGGATAGATCGATCTAAAAGCTCTGGGAATACGCTCTAAGGTGCGTGTAAACTATGTCACTTTCAGATAGATATATTCATGAAACAAACACAAATATATAAACCACTAACCCTGTAAAAAAGATACGAAAGTATCTCTGATTGCTGATGCCGAACTTCGGATTAGATGCTCGTCAGCTCTCTCATTTTCAAATAGATAATAATACCTACATAAAACAAATACACGAAAACCAACAGTTTTTCAAAGTAAACATAAAAGTCTACTCACTTGCTGGTAGCTGTTCGGCTTGTCCGCAAGGGACCCATTTTCCCGTTTGGAACTTCCAGTGGTGGGGATCCGCCAGCACCATGTCCACGAACACGTTGTAGTGAGCCTGGGGGTCCAACCCCTGAAGAGATATCTGGAGCGTCGGGAACATGCGTCTGGAAAATCATGCAAAAAGAAAGGAATTTTACAGTAATTAACTATTATGGAGTATAGACGTTCAAACATTGTGATGTATTTGAAATTGAAAATATGAATAAGATGAACATGTGCATTACAGCAGTCTTTGTGTAAAATTATTTCTGTTGGATTATAAAATGTATTGTGAGATCAAAGTTGTTATTAGAAGAGTATTTGTATTGTAATAAATAAATAAATAAATAAATAAATAAATAAATAAATAAATAAAGGTACAAGTCATACTATTTGCAAATATAAGAATCTACTTTTTCATTGAAATTCTTTTGGTTCCAGTGCACATCTAAAATAAATATGACCTAATAATACATTATTAAATTGCATTATAAAACTAGTAAAAACAATTTTGACAAAAATTAAAGCAACGATTACTAATCAGACACTGATTCATTGTTAGTCTTGTGTCTTATGAGTCATTCACTAAGCCCTTATGGTGGATTTGTCACCTATACAAATTGCACAGGTCTTTCTGCATTATGTTGTGAATAAATATGCCATAAATAGTCCTTAAAACCTCAATGTCTATAAATATTATACAAATCCAGAATAGAAGATTTTCTTCTAGTCAAAACAAGAACCCCCTCCCCAAGGTAATGAACATAATCATAAATGTCAGCGTGTCCTCATAAGGTGGTCAACCCAAATCACCGACGGGGGTCCGGCTTTATAAAAGAAATGCAGTCCTTAAGTTGGACTAAACTTTAAGACAAAAAATAGACTACTTTGACTCAATATAAATTATTAGTTGCCCACTATTAAATGAATATTGTGTTGTTTTATGGAAAGAAAGGGTGCCTTTTTCCCCCCAAAAAAAGGAACTTTATCTAAGTTGGTTTCTATTTATTAATCTTTAACGTGAAGTTGATCAAATTCTAAGAGTTGATCTGAGAGTTCGGACTTGTTTTTGGGACTAACGTTCTTTTGTAGCTCCAGCTCCTTAATCTTATTTCCGTCACAAAGGTTTTCTGTTTCCGACACGAGTACTCAGTCACTTCGGGGGTGGGACGGGGTGGGAGATTATAACGGATCAACGAGAAGATTAAGATGCCTTCTAGATTAAAATGGCTTCAGGCCCCAATAAAAACCCTTTGTTGGGTTACGTTAACCGTTTTCAATATTTAACGATAACTCGGGCGTCTCTATTTACAATGGCCTTCTACCTGGTCCAAAATTCAGGCTATTCTTGGCAGAACCTGTTCCGGATAGCGGTCAGTTTCGTAACCATGGGTCATTAAGTTATTAAAAATAGCCAATTGGTGGACATAATTGGAAATGACCGCTGATGTGTGGTCAACAACCCTTATAACATAGGTCAGAGAACTGATAAGAATAAATTGCAGCCATTCCAGAGTCGGTCATTAACGCACTCCCGTATTTCTGGCACATGTCGCAAAATAATGACTCCAATTTTTTTATTTGACGCGTGTCGGCTTTTTCATATTGAAATTCTTATACCAACTTTGTTGTAAAACTGAAAATTAAGGGGCTTAGCAAGCTTGACGAGATGGTTGCTGTTTTACGTCATAATTTTTCAACTGATAACCACTAAAGGAAGTTAAATAGTTAACTGTAATCGATTAAACCAATGCTGCGTTGATTAAGTACAATTAAAGAAAATAATTCAATAAAATATAATAGAGAGTGAATATAATAGTATAACGTAAGGGAATATTTATACGAGAATGAAAACAAACATCCACATAGCATTGCACGCTCAGCAAGGTTTCTACGCCCCTATTTGTTAGCATAGCAACTATGCCATATGAAAATATGTCATATTTAAAACTTTAACCTCGGGTCCAAGACAAAACTGTTAAAATATAATATGGCCAAATTTGAGAACGTGCTCGTACATCATAAGGATAGATATAGTAATGGTGCGAAAACGTGTTTGGGTAGTGTGCTTTTAAAGAATTAAAAAATTCAGATTTATTTAAGGGAGAGAGAGATTTAAGGAAAAAGAGTCTCAAAATTGAAAAGGAAATTGGAATCCGTTTTATGGAGTTGTTTTGTCAATATGTCGTTTACTATGTATTTCTTTCAAGGAAGGTGAAACACAAGATACCAGAGGTGCGCTCTCTCGCTCTCGCTCTCTCTCTCTCTCTCTCTCTCTCTCTCTCTCGCGCCAGTAGCTATTTCATATTGCCATTGTTAATTTCAGTGCAAATACATCAATATATATTTACATCAACTACATACTTATCAATTTTACACTTAACGTTGTTGAAAAATGCTAATGAAAGATTTTTTTCCTTGAACGAATGAAGAAAATTGAATTTCATTTTGTTATGAGTATGGTTAACATCGATGAACAATGAATCAAAAATTTGTTTACACAGAAAGTGAAAATGAACCGTCAGTAATTGTTATCATTAATGCTGAAATTTGACATTAAATGAAGCAATAGTAGAAGTATGAAACTCAATAAACATTGAATATTAATAACTGTAAAGGCGTAGAACAAAGATGTAATATTTATTACCATCATATTGAATGGTATGTTATAGGACCAATCAATTACTCGAAATCTTTATCGCGATTAATTTGGTAGGTTTAAGAAAACAATCGATTTCATTTTTTCCCAATATAAATGCACTTGCCATTAGGATCCGACGAAACTTTGGGATTAGATTTCCGTACTCGCAAGTGATAGTCTACTAAACTATATATATCAGATTTATACACCAAGATTATTCTAAATTAAGACGCACAACGTTTGATAATAACTCCAACAATTCCAACAAATACTCAATAAACCCAGAATATAAAAAATCCTTATTGTCATAAGAAAATTTCTTGAGTAATGACGGTGGTAGTATGGCCGAAATCAAGGATGGACGTTTCCATGGTAACGACATCTCGTGCTTCGTTGCGGAGTAATTGAGGAAGCGTATATAGGAATAATGATCGATTTCGTTCTATCCCATGCTAATTACGGCCCTCGGAAATAACTTGAGAGTTCCTTATATTTTTACCATCTAAGTATTTGGCCACGATTTCCTTTTGTATTTCTTTTTCTTTTTAACATTTTTCGTATATTTTTTTTACCATCAAGGTATGCGTATATCACATTTTTGTATCATTTTTTCCTCTCATTTTCCGTTTTATCTGTCATTTTTACCATTTACTGTGTATTGTTTTCCTTCTTTTTCATGATTTTAAAAAAATTTATATCTTATATTTTTGCCACTAAACAAAAGTGTAGGCTTTCAATTCGTCTATTTGCATATTTTATTCTGTACATTTTTACTATTTACAAAAAAATTGCTCTAAAAAACCTGATATTTTAACCATCGTAGAGTAAGTGTGCACTCCCTTGCGCATTTTATATTCATTTAATCACACTTCCATTGCTTTATAATGTACGCACTCCATCTTTCTATAACCTCCCTCTTGTTTTAACTAAAGAACAATATCTCCAATCAACTCCTTGTTTTAGCTAAATAACAATATCTTTCATCAGCCCCTTCTTCACCCAAAAGCCTCAATGGCGTAAATGAAAACGGGTGACATAATCATATTTACAGATAGAGAGTAGAACATATTGTCTCTAAAGAGAAAATAATCAGCAGGTTAAACAGGTGCATCAGGCACGGCATTTTCAGCTGTCCCCGTGGCGTTGTCTCAGCCACGGCGTTTGTCACGCCTTTTGGGCTGTCTTTCAGAACGCAGCGGTGTTGCAAGGGGGCAGGTGACGCGAAAACGACTGCTCAAAGGAAGCTGGCTTGAGCCAGCCACCGATTTTAGAGAGAAAGAGAGAAGTTGAGAAGAAGAAGAGAGAGATTTCGAGAGAGATTTCGTGGAGAAATTGATAAGAGATAGAGATGGAGAGAGAGAGATCTGCCCACTGAAACTCATATACCTTTAGTTTATCATCAATGAGTATGCCTCCGCAACTAAAAGCAAGTTCAACAACGTTTCAAAACACACTCACAAGTTTAAAGGCGTCCCATTCCCAAATACAAACGAAATCAAAAGAAGTGAAACATGAATAAATTGATTAACTAACAAACTGAGGTGGAATATATATGCATAAAATAAACAAACACATAAATAAATAAATTTTTTTTTAATATTAGGGAAAATATTTTTAGCTACAGAGAGAGAGAGAGTGTGTGTGGGCACACCTTGCGTTACTGATTTACTGTCGCAGCTTATTTTGTTCCTTAAACAGTAATGAGAGGAAAAGAACTTCCTTTGGACATCCATGTAGAAGAGAACAATCATCTAATGACCGGAACAATGGCCGCGTCCTTGCCAGACTTCCGCCTGTTAATCTTGACGATGTCGGGAAATCAGGCGATAGAAAAATAGAGCTGCATTTCTCAAAAGTGAGTTAGTTCTACAGTTGATTTTAATTGTTAGGACAAACGTTAAAGTCCTCTTTGAACCACTAAATCAGTTGCAGCTTCAAAGTTAAAAAGTAAATTGGAAATCTACGGTAGAGTAACTAAAGCATTTCCCTCTTTTGCTTTTCATCAATCGCACGTTATGTTTCTTTAATTAGACCAATACTGATTCATGTTAGGTCAAAATATGTTAAATGTTAAGTCTAGAAGTTAACACCAACTTTCAAACTTCAGTATTTTTCAATGGGCACTTTTTCTTCCAGTAACGTGTTTCTTAGGTTAGACACACTAAGCTATCAGAAGCAAAACACATCGCCAAAGGGTATTTTAAAAGCGTCTTAAGAAACACAACCTTAATTTATGCTAATATTAACGACAGCCCCTTTTTCGAAAATAATTTGACCGGCACGATAATTTCTTGTTTATTTCTAGTTCACATGGTATTTATTTATTTTTGCCATATATCGTGATAATAAGCGCCATGCCTGGTGTAGTTTTCCCATATTTTTTTTCCTGATAAAATTATGTTAAGCAAACGAAATTCAGCCATGACAATTAGTCAAATTAAGCTAATCCATTACAAACCAAGATTTATGGACACACAAAA